GCAGCTGAGGGGACTGTCACACTCACTTTAGCCTTTCTACACTTAATTTCTGTGCTTATTAATCAATGGCAGAGCAGATGCACTGAGCTCAGCTCTGGTCCATCAGTGCCTCATGCTCAGGAAAACAAGACAGAGCCTTCTCCATCAGTAACCCTGTGACCACCTCTGCTTCCTGCACCCGCTCATCCTCCCTCTCCTCCATCACTTGATTTTTGAAGTAATTCAGGACCTTCCCTCTGCCGCTGCATGAGAACTGCACTGAAATCCCCCTGCTTCCCAGGAGAATCACAGAATCATAGAACAATTCAGGTTGGAAAAGACCCTTGGGATCACCGAGTCCAACCACTGACCTTACACTACAAGTTCACCCGTAAACCAGATCACCCAACACCACATCTAAACGACACTTGAACACATCCAGGGATGGCGACTCAACCCCCTCCCTAGGCAGTCTGTTCCAGGGTCTGACCACTCCTTCCATGAAGAATTTCTTCCTAATGTCCAGCCTAAACCTGCCCTGTTGCAACTTGAAACCATTCCCCCTGGTTCTGTCCCTAATTCCCTGTGAGAAGAGACCAGCACCAACCTCTCTACAATGTCCTTTCAAGCAATTTCAGAGCAATTACTTGTAGAAGTGACAAACACCACTCCCCGCTCGCGCCGCTGAGCGAAGTCACACTCGTCTTTCCATGAGACAGAGCAAACTGTGTCCTGTCACAGCTGCACAACACCCCGGCCACCCCGCGGCTCCTCACCGCGCTGCGCTCCCCAACAGGTTTCTCTAATATTTCCTTTTCCCCGACGTTCAGCAGTCTGCTCCTCTGAGCTACGCGCCTGCCAAGGGTTGACCACTGTCTCCTTCCCAGTTGGACACAAGTGGAGCGGGGCCAGCAACTCGGTAGGATCCAGCTCCTGATAATTTAAATTCAATGTCATCAGTCAAAGTTTTAGAGTCTGGCTCTTCTCTAGATCATCGCTGCTGATCCCTCTGAGTTTATTTTCTTCCCCGTGCCAGCGCTGATCGGGGCCAATCCACTTCACATCCCCTTGGCTCCTTCTCGCAGGGTTTTGGTTTTGACGGGCGGTCCAAGGTGATGCAGTTGGGTTTTTCAAAGTGTGGGAGAGAAATCAAAATGCGGGAGAGGAGAAACCAGCCAGTGAATCTTTTCCTGGGGTTTACACTATGGGTAGGATTCTCAAATAAGGTTTTACTTAATAAAAAACCTCATCATGCACTCGTCCAGGCCCTCCCACCATCCCCCCAGTCCCCTCCACCAAACAATAGCAGAGTTAAATATAGCAAAATAAAATCTACTCCTGTGGTTAAAAAAAAAAAGGGGGATTTATAGCCAAAGGGGTGCTACAAAGGGACCCTGTGACACCAGGGACGGCTGCCTCCTGCTGCCGGTGTGGTGTGAGAACTTGAGGAAGGGGTTGGGCAGCAAAAAGAGGGTAAAGAAAAAACTGTGTAAGCAGCAAACGATGCACAAAGCTCAGTCTTCGTCCAAGCGCCGCGGCCCTTTCGGGATCTTCCCTGGGAAATCCTCAAACGCAATATATAAGCAGCCTGTCCCCAAGGCTGGTGGAGGAGCAGAATGGCCGAGGTTGGTGGTTGGAGCTTCCAGCATCTACTGGAACCAAGAAAGCCCGGACGAAAAACACGGCAGCTTGGACATGACGTCAGCTTTTCTCGCTAAACCAACACGGCAATCAAATAGGTCGTGCTGGAAAAGCTTGCTTTGTGGGGTATTTTTTTTAAAATTCAAACGTCAACCTGTCATCAGGGCGTTGAAATTAAACAAGGCAGTTACTGTCTGACTGCGGGTACGCCCCGAGATAGTCATGCTCTTGGCAGGAGCGGGCTGCTGCTGGCCTCTGACGGCACCAGGTTGCCATATCACCGCACGCTTCAGCTGCAGGAACATCTCGACCACATAGAATCAGAGAATCACAGAATGGTTCAGGTTGGAAGGGACCTCAAAGAGCATCCGGCTCCAGCCCCGCTGCCGTGGCAGGGACATCTCCCGCTCGCTCAGGCTGCAGCTTGGGAACCCTTGCGGCTGGGTTCCACCAGAGCAGAAGGATCTGCGATATCTCCAATGAGTAGAGAAAAACGAAAAAAAAAAGAAAAAAAGGAAGCATTTCTTGGGAAAAAATAAAGAGCAGGATTTGACCAGGCACTGGATCGTGACTGCCCTGAGTCGACGCACAAGAAGAAAAGAAAACTCCCAAATGAACACCAGTGTTCGTGCGGGCTGCCCGCTACGTGTCTGATGCCAATTTGATTTATCGGCTTAAAACGGGGAGAAACTGGTAGTTGTCAGTAAGCCCACGCACTTCTCCTACAACCACAGACCAGTAGTAACACAGACACAGTGACACGAGCTAGGAAAGAAACTACATTTATCTCCTCTCTCCTAAAGCTGACCTCCAAAGGTCCCACTTTAGTTATTCACGCCTCCAATTATTCCTTTCTTTATTTTATTTCATTTATTTTCATTTTTATGATTTAAGTACTTTATGTACTTAAATCATTTTCACCACTTGTATCTCAAGGCCTTTCAGGATTGGTGCTTCGTTTGGAAAAAAAAAAACCCAACAAACCCAAACAATCAAAAGTCCTGGTAGAGCTGACATCTCATCCTTCCATTCACTGTTCTCCGAAGATATTTCAAATGGGAAATTCCACTGGAACTGGGGGAAATCTTCCAGCACGTGGATACTTTTAAAGACGTCTCCTCGACCACTTTTTAAAGTGGATACTTTTTAGAGACATCTCCTCGATGAACTCAACCCTATGCTTTTTTTTACAAAGGCAGAACTGCTGAAAATATAAGGGAGGTTTTGCTTCTCCTAATCAAATTAATAGAGCCAAACCAAAATAAAAAAAAAACAACTAGAAACGCACACTGAGCCCCAAATTTTCTTCAAACACTTGAAAAGCAAAATAACTTTCACATAAAGGAGAACGACTCCCGTCCAACGAATACAAGGAGCTAGTTTAAGAAAATAATTAGGAGGGGAGAAAGAAAAAAAGGGAAAATAAAAAGACAAGCTACTTTCTGCCACGGGCTCTGTTCTGCAGGAAAAGACCGCGGAGTATTTAAGCGAACTGTCTGGGTTAATGACAGCTGATGTCCCGGATCCCATAGCAGTAGTCGTGACCTTCAGGCCTCCCGTGACGGACGGGCTGACCCCAATCACTCCAGGGTGCGAGGTAAATGACAAGCAAAGAAGAAAAAGAAAGAGAAGAGAAAGAAAACTTGCTGCCGGCTTTGTAGCCAGGCTTCCTAATAAAACCTAATTCAAGCTGTCAGGGTGAAATGAAGAAAGTGTCAACAGGGGTTTTCAGAGAAATATTCCAAATGTTTGGCTCGAAAAGCCAAGAGCCGGGCTCCCTTCCCCCAGCCCTCAGAAAGGGCTGCAAAACCCAATGTCGAAAGGAATTTTAATAACGTGTCCAGGGGGAACCCTGAGGAGGGACCCAAGGGGACACTTTTCTTCCCTTCCCTGACAAAGCCAATCATCTCCGCAACGGTGAAGAGCACAAAACTCGCGAGGGAAGTGCCAACGGAGCGGTTCGGTGAAACGAGCGTCCCTGTGAAATAGGACCATTCTGTCGGCTTCAGAAACCGAGATGGTTAATGGTGACCCCCAGGTTAAGGGCCCTGGGAGCCACCAAAGAGAAGAACCTGCCACCAGTGAAAGGCTGAGATTGATCGGGGGGCGAGAAACGCCCCGCGCTTCCGCAGCAACCCACGCGCGACAGCAGAAGACGGAGAGAAAGTGCCTCTCCAAACCACTATCCCTCGCACAGAGGGAGAGAATGAAAACCCCGAAGAGCCTTGCGGAGGCGCTGAAACATCTGGCGAGGCCCCAGAACACTGTCCTGACTTCACATCCGTGGCCAGGACATGAAGCTGCCAAGGGAGGCGAAACCCCCACCCAGTCCAACCTCTTGCTGCAAACAGAAGGGGAGAAGGATCCCTCCTTCCACTAAGACTCTCCTTATTTTTTCATACACCTCTACCAAGCTGAAGACAACTCTGGGTGCAACAAGAAAGCCCCAACGTCCAGTTTCTGGCGAATACAGATGTTTTCCCACCTCACACACGGGTAAAAAGGAGCATCAAGGCACCTCGGGATGGAGAAGGGAGTGTAAACACACGGAATAGTTTGGGAGGCTGTAAGAAAAATAGCAAAATCATATTATTTGTATAGGGACTCCTGTGGGAAACAAGAAAAACAAACCCCCGAAAGCAGCAGCTGAAGCTCGTTAACACACAGGGCAAAATCAGAAAGCTCGGGTTTTCCTGCCGACGCGCTCCTGGAGGGCGAGCGCAGGGAGGCCACGTGAAGGCTGTGGATGTCACACCAGGCACTGACTCACCGACAAGGGGACATCACTATTTTGCTCCAGACAACCAGATTCACCTCTTTAGTACAACTGACTCAGAAATGTCTTGGAAGAAACAATCCCTTCACTTTTTATACAGCTAGAGTAGTCCTGGGCTATCTTCCCCTACATCAGGCAGATATTTTGGAAGACTTGGCCAGCCCCTTGTACGAGACACTCCCGTGCCAAGGAGCCCACCAGCCACCTCCAGCCTGGACAGGGTCGAGCAGCACGAAGGGTTGAGGAAGAAAATTCATATTTTAAACCCGTCGACGTAATTCGGTGCAGACAAAAACCTCCGTGTTACAGCCACTGGCGGAGCCATCGCCTACCTCAGATGAAGGTCTTCGGAAAACTTCAGACAGGCGTAGATGAATTCCTTAATCTGATTGTAAACTTTAGGCACAAACTCGGAAAAGGGGAACTTCTTTGGAAACGGTTGCTGTAAAATACAAAGGAGAATTCAAGTGGAAGAGCAGATATTTAACAGGGGTGACGACTGCTTTCCAGCGACGTGTTCCAAGCAGCCAAATTAATTCTAGTATTTAGCAAAGTCCAGCAATGAAACAACAAGTCAGCATTTATTGTATATTATATAAACATTTCAGCCAAGTGAAAGACCAGATAATCGCTTACAAATGGCGTAAGGGATTTGGAGGCTGGAAGGAAACTTGCAGGCAGACCCTCATTCCCTCTCCCAACTCCCAGATTCATACGAAAAAAGAAAACCTCCTTGACTTTTTAGCTCCCACCATGCACAAAGTGTTCCACCGGGCCACCTCCTGCAGGTGCTCGCTCACAACAGCAAAAGCCAAGAGGAAACAGATGTCCTACAGCCAGTTCTCCCGACCTGCTCGCACCCACAGCACACACGTGGGTGGGAGGTGCCGAGTGTAACAGTCAGAAGCTGGACCCTGTGATACAGCTTTGGGGGAAGGACACAGACTTTCTGAAATCTAAACACTTGGATAGAAAACCCTTCTCCCAGTCTTAATGAAGTTCACCGGGCTCGGAGCTCGCTGGCTGCCAGATGTGGAGCTGGAGGCCAAGCAGCCTTTTAAGGGACACTGCTTAGGTCAAGGTTGGCTCCACTTAGGTTTTGCAAGCACACACTTCAACAAAAGCCAAGATATACCACTTCATTGGGGCCTTTTTTTTTTTTTTTTCCTCTAAACCTGAGTTAAACCAAATTAAGGTCAACAGCTTAGTACATAAAATGGGAATAAAACACCAATGCAAGCAGATATTTCTAGTCTCTCATCCACTGCAAGCCCTGCTCAGCTGCAATAGTGCACTGCGATCTGAAAACCAAACCCATGAGGTATTGAAACATGTGCTTTCCTCACCCAAACCAGGAGAAAAGCATTACATGGAATGTGTACTTGTTCCTTTCCCTTCTTTTGTTTTTTTTGGTGCTGTTGTTTATTTGGGTTGAGGTTCTTGATGCCACTATCAAGGGCACAGGGTATTCCCGCAGCAGTGGCAGTCGCCGCGCCGTGCCACTCGCTCCGTTTCAAGGTTACCTTTTCAAGCTCTGCATCCTGGAACGGGAACTGTCCAACTATTTTCTTATAAACTTCTTCATTTGTCACTGGGATGGGACTGTAGTTATCTGAATCAAGTATATTTCTAAGGGAAGAAAAGCACACGTTAGGAAAGCAGCTCCGTGAGAACAGACCGACCACAGTTTTGCAGATTTACTGCGTGGTCGGGAAGCTCTTAAGAAGTAGGTGCCAGTGTAAGATGTGATCTCACGGGCACCGACTTCTCATCATGTTTGTGACTGTTGAAATCATCTTTGCTGTGGCCAGATTTAATGATCTCTCCCTGCCTTCAGCCTCCATAAAGCCACAACTAGAACTTAAGAGTGATTTTAGTCCAGAACTGAGCTTGAGGAGCAGCTCTTGCTAAAGGCCAGGCAAGGTTCAGTCCTGAGGATGGATGCTGAGCTACCAGGGCATCGAGCTCCACAACAAAACCGTAAACTTGTCCCTCTGGGACATAAAACCTCTGGTCTACACGAGTTTACTGCACAGATCTCACCACAAAAAACATAAGAAGGATGTGGACGTGTTGGAGCAGGTCCAGAATCACAGAATCACAGAATGTCTTAGGT